GCTTGCCCAGGCACTGTGGTCTGCAGCTGCCCCTGCAGCACTCCACATGAGGCCAAGCCCTGCCAAGGGCAGTCCGTGCCATGCTCCCATCCACACCTGCCAGCCTAGCCCTGGCCAGCACACAGCTTACCAGATGAGGGGGTGGGGAAGGCTGCTTCCAGTGCAGCTGCAGTTGCCCTGTAGCTGCTGAGCTTCCCTTGCCTCCAGTGGCTGCTCCTGCTGTGCCACTCCAAGTGGGGAGAAAGCTCCAGGTAAGTGGCTCCAGCCCCATCATGTGGGGCTCCTGTTCTAACTCCTAGCTGCCTTCTATTCACTCAACTGCTCATGCCAGGTGGGCAGAGTGGATGGAAGGCAGCTGGGAGCTGGAGTTGAAGCCCCACATGGTTGGGCAGGAGCTGCCCAGTTGAAACCTCCTCCCTGCCTGGAGCAGCAGAGCAGGGGCAGGAGCAGAAGGATAATCCACCACTGGAGGTGAGGGGAGCTGAGCAGCTTCCAGGCAGCTACAGCCATGCCAGGAGCAGCCCCACCAATAAGATGTGCACACTGACCTGGACTGGGGTTGGTGGGCGTGAGCAGTAGCACAGGGTGGGCTGACCCAGGTGGGGCTCGGCCTCCTGCAGAGCGCTGCGAGGGCAGCCACAGGCCAGATCCAATCAGTTGGCAGGCACCCGCTGTGGGCCGGATCTGATCACGTGGCAGGCTGGATGCGGCTTGTAGGCCATATGTTGCCCACCCCTGGGTTAAGTCAACAAGCAGGTAAAGATAATAAAAGGGAGGATGTAGAAACTGACAGTTTAACCAGATTTTAAAAAGGATTATATATATATATATGCCTGATAAGTCCATTAGTGGGTGTTAAAGTTCATAGGACAGCTGCACCCTCCAGATTAGTCCTTTGTGGGCCTCTGAATATTTGAAGCTGTAGGGGAAGAGGGGCAGTGGACAGATCAGTCTGATTAGGACCTGCATAAATAGCTGCCACTTAACATCTATTAGCTGTCATTATGAGGTACAGGATAATGAGCTAGATGGACCTGTATGCCATTTCTCATGTTTTTCTGCTCAGATTCATAGGAGTCTTTATAAATCAGAAATTCCGAGGAGTTAATTGTCATCCTTTTTGCTCTCTCTGTTATCATCTTGAATCATCAGAAATATACATTGTAGTTATTTTTATACATCAAAAATGCTCAATATTTTTCTTCTATCAGCTCTTCCTGGGCCAACCTCTCAAAATGTATTTGGGATATTTAAGTATTTTTGCTGAATACATACTGAGAAAACATCTAATAATTTAGTATGCAATTTATTATCCAGCCAGAAATGTGAGAAGAGCAATAACACATAAACGATAACTTCAAGTGTTATTGCTTTTAAAATCAGTAAATCGTATAAAGCTTTAAAGTTCTAAGATTCAAATATTGCATGATATGTCATATTTTATCAACTGTAGTTGATTGTAACCTCATTAGCTAGTAACAATTATGCTACCTGAAATAAGCTAATATTTTAAAGACACAAATTATGCATACTAATTGAGAAATCTAAAATCATAGTTCCCATAAAACTATCATCCTTTTCTCTGTCCTCACATATTACTGCGTATACTGATTATGTACACTGTGATAAGATATCATTGCTCATTGGATTATGGTTGCTGTGGGAACCATGCCTTTAAATTTCAAGACTATTATATATTTAAATTATCAATCAAAATGTTTTAATTACTTAGTGGGGTTTTTTTTGCATTAAATTAGTATTTTTATGAGAAAAGAGAAGAAATGTGATCATACATTCAAATATATGGTTATATATACTTTGCCTTAACATTTGGCTCTCCCGATGCAAACATTCTCTGCTATGTCTAGAATTCTTTAACACAGTATTATTAAAATGTAAGGAATAATGTTTATTCTTTGCTGCATGTGCAATGTACAATTTACAAATGTTTTAAAATAAAATCAAGTACTTTTCCAAATATATCAAAGGCCATTATTTAGGAAAACAGCTGTCTCTTATTTAATTGTAAGTGTATAGGGCCTGTACACATGCAGTGAGGCTGCTCCAACATGCTATAATTACAGTGCATCAGAGCAGACTCGATTAATCAGTTCTGCTGGAGTGTGGTAATTACCATACTCCAGCGTCACATGCAAGCTGTCCAGTGTAGGCCAATCCCCATGTGTATGTGGAACCCCAATTGCTTCGTTGGTAGCAGCATGCAGGATTGGACCTTAAGCCCAAGTCAGAACCAGTGGTTTTCACTCTGATTCTGGAGAAAACCTGAGCATTAGCTTAAGTACATCCATATTAAAAAGAGGGCTTTAGTATGGGAAGTTATCCATGTGCTTCAGGAGTGCGGGGGAGGAGGGGTCATTCGAGCTTTAGTTAAAGCGCCCCACCTCCATTTTTCAGCACAAGGACACTGATATACATGACACTCCGGGCACTTTAATTAGAGCAGCTCTCGGAGCTGCTCTAATTAAAGCCTCCCTCCTTCCCCGCACCACATGTATAAATGCCCTTACTTAAGCCCTCCTTTTAATATGGATGTACTTAAGCTAACGCTCAGGTTTTCTCCAGAATCAGAGTGAAAAGTATTGGTTTTGATTTGAGCTTAAGTTCCAATCCTGCAAGCTGCTACACACGAAACGTTTCCTACTGAAGCAATTGGGGTTCCACATATATATGGGAATTTGCCTACACTGGACAGCTTGCAGCTTTAGATTAAGGACCTAAACCGATGGAAAGTTTAGCGGTTTATAAATATGGTATTTTGAGACTCTCTGAGTACTGAAAACATTGGAAAGTGTTCAGAAAGGAGTTATAAGGATGGTTCAACATCTGGGAAATCTGCCTTGCAGTGAGAGACTGGAACTTAGCATGTTTGGCATATAACCAGTAGGTGATTAAGAAATTACTTGATCATGTCTATAAGCAACAATATGAGGACTTGGCAGAAACCAGCAGCTGAAAGTTCTAGCTGAACAAATTCAAACTGGAAATAAGATAGAAATGTTTAAATTGAGGATAATTAACTGTTGAAACAACTTACCTAAAATGTAGTTAATTCCTCATCACTAGACATCTTTAACTCAAATCTAGATGTCTTTAGAGACCCGCCCAATGAGAAGTCATGTAGTTGATTAAGTAATTACAGGTTGAAATTCTGTGGTCTGCATTATAGTAGGTCAGGCTAGATGATTATAATGATCCCCTATTGTCTTGTATTTTTGTCATGTTAGATTATATTTTTACATAATAATCAGAAATTATTTTCAATAATATAATAAAAAGATTTCTTATTTCCAAAATCAGGTTCACTGGGAAAAGACAAATGCTATAGTAAAGTTAAAGGAAAATACTGTATTTGTTAATAACAAAGTATCATTACTCTTGGGTTCAAGTAAATAGGACACAGTAAATTTTCTGTATGTGCTAGTAAAGACTAATAAATTAAATCTGAAATCGTTTTTCAGTTCAATACTATATATTGATTGAACTTGTCTTATGCTTTTAAATTGGACTGCAAAAAAACTTTGGATAATACTATAATAAAGCAGCGTAGGAGAGCTCATTAAAACGTCTCTAAAGTTATGGTAAACTTAATACCACTTTTTTGTATTTTCCATTACATGGTTAAATGTGAGTCATGTACTTCATTATGAGCAAACAAGATTACTGTCCTCTTTCTTAACTTTAAAATAAGAAAATACCTTTTAGTCTAGTATACATTCCAGTGCCCCTCTCATTCCCAGTGCTTTTTTACTATGATGCTGGGTTTTGGTTGTAGCTGTGTTGGGCTAAGGACATAAGCAGGCCAAGGTTCTTTGGGTAGATGTGATATCTTTTATTAGACCAACTGAGTAGTTGGAAAAAAGCTCTTAGCAAGCTTTTGGGCACAGTCACCCTTCATCAGGCATAGGGAGTTTCTGCTGAGACTCCCTATGCCTACATATTTATATTTTCACTGACATCCCTCCACACTTTTAGCTTCTCTCATTCCTTGGAGTCTCAGACCAGCAGAGATTCCCTGTTCCTGATGGAAGGTGACTGCGCCCGAAAGCTTGCTGAGAACTTTTTCCCCAACTAATCAGTTGGTCTAATAAAAGATATATCATCTACTCAAGGAACTTTGCCTTTTCACTATCATAGCATTGCCAAGCTACAGTGACATTGTAATTTTATTGCCTACACTACTATCACTACAGGATTAATCAAAAATTGTGTTAACATGAAACCTTAATTGAAAAAAGGAAAGGTGTGTGGGTGTGTGCTCTTTACCTGTTTGCATTGGGAATAGTCCTGCTGTATATTTAACTAAGGATATATAGTAATTTTCATGTTAAAATGACAAAATTATTCTGAACAAATTAAAGTGTTTACTCAGGACTAGTTCCTGCACTCCATGTCTATCTATGCTAGCTTTTATGAAAGGGTCCACAAGTGAACTACTGCCTCTATTTGAGCTAGTGGCAAAATTCCCATTTGAGTTCAGTGGAGTAGGATATAAATCTTAAGTGTGAAGAAAAAGGAGAAATTTTGCCTCAGATTCACATCTGTGTCCAAAATATGCATGGGGTTTTTTCCCTATCTTTGGGCAGGGCAGGGAGGGGGGATGAGTACTGAAATTCTTGCCCACCAGGAATCCTGTTTTTTATCATTATCATTTTTAAAGATACCAGATATTTAATTTTTTTTTAATATTTGCAGTATAGCTCAGAAATAATTCTTGTGCTTATTTCCTGCATGGGGAGGAAGATGAATTGGACTTTATAAGCTATGATCCTGCAGTAAATATGCAAACAAAATGCCAGCTGAAGTAATTTGCGTTTTCCTTTCATAGGCACTTCAGAATCTGGCCCTTTAACAAATTTTAGTCAGTAGCCAGGAGCAAACTATAAATTTCTATTGAACTTTAAACAATCTATCAAAGTTTCTCTGATCAGCCTTTTTACTATCTTATCTTGAGCCCTTTTTTTAATGACATCTATTATCAGATTGAAATGGCGATTGAGACACTGCAAAAGTCTGATGGTCTGTCTACTCACAGAAGCTCTCTTCTCAACAGCCATGTAAGTTGCCTCTTCTTCATGTAAACTAATCTCTTGCCTGTTCTGCATGCTTAGCCTGCTTCCAAATGCTTGTTTTGTTTTATTACTTTTTTCTTTGCCTCTTAATCTTCTCTTCTAAGTTTCTTGTTATCTTATTCAGCATCTCCCATGGCTATTAACATAGGTGAAGTGTTGTTACAACACATTGTAGAATTTCCTCTGTTTTGTAGGGTCTGCACTGTGTAGCAAGGGTTAATGTATTTCTGTATTGCACAAGTTATACTTTAATGTTAAAATAATCATTATCAAATTCTTAATTATTATAGGTTTGATATTTAAAATAAATACAGTTAACTATAAAGATGAGTTTGTACACACTAATAATTTTGCAAGGGGGTTGGAGAAGGGGTAAAGGGACTGACATGAATAAATAATATCTTTTCAATTGTTTTAAAGTATCTTATTACTTTATCTTGAAAAATTGGTTCATTATAAGAAGACATAAAAATGCTGAAGTTCTTTAAGGTGATGTTAAATATTTTTAGTAAATGTCTTAAGATGGTGCCTTTTGGGGCTGAAAAAAATGAAAACAAGCTATTGCTATGAAAGCAGGATATATCTTCCTCTTTTTGCCTCCTTGCTTTATTCATACTTAACAACTCCTACAGTAAAGCATTTCTGATAAGAGAACTTTTTTTGCCTAAGGTGGTTGTTTGTCTGTGTGTGTGTATTTAGATATATGTATAAATAAATCCAAATATAATAGTAAAGTTATTTAATAACTTTTGTACAGAGGAAATTAGAAAATAAATTGTCAGAACCTGTCTTTCCTGAAATGTATTTTTTTCAGCTGATAGACATGCTTCTAACATAATTATATTTTTGCTTGGTACACACACACACAGATTCACAACTCAGACTTAACTAAGCTATACCGATGATATGATTATTTTTGTATCTTTCTACCAAAAAAACAGAAAATGAAAAACATTATCTAATTTTTGTAGACAGTTTGTTTGTAATATCTATTGATTTTTATGATGCTAAAAACAATAACTTAGAAATCAAATCCATTACATATTTTCTTCTGAAAGACTCCCATAATTTGAAGCTAAAACCAACAGCATCATGTGGAAGTTTCTCCTCTTGATATAAAGAGGCATGTGGGGATTCTAAAACTTCCTGGAAGAGAACCAACCTTAGAAACTGCTCCAGTTGTATAGTGAGAGGTTGAATAATGTGATGAAATATACATGTGATAAAAAGACTGTGTTCTGGTTTTACAAAATGTTGTTCTGAAGAGACTGCCTAGAAATTGCATTATCAAGGTTAATTAGATGCCATGGTAAGAGAGAACTTTGGCAAAGGATCAGGGTGTACATTAAAAATGGAAATAGAGAGCGCTGCTATTTTGTTTCGCATCCCATACGGAAGCACGGAGTCCTTGACAACAAATCAAAAAAAAGTGATAAGGCCACTTTATCATGAATACCTTATTCTACTATGTACATTATAAGCACAGTTTACAAACATTTTCAACTTACAATATTTACACATGCTTACTACACAACATGTCACTGATTTTCTTGTTGTTTTTTCTTTATCAGTTTTAAAGACCAATATGTAATAATTATAGGTATGTGTTTTGATTTTGGAACAGAAGCATGTTACTGTATCATGGCAATCTTTACAGCCCAGGTCAACCAATTAAGAAGTTGATAAAGCAGTGGTCAAATTTATTTGATGGTTTACCTATTTTTAATACTATGCTGATACACTGACTTCTGACTCAAGTATGAACTACAGGAAATTTAATGCAAGTTTGTTCTTTCTCCCTTTCTCAAGGTACCCTTCATTTTGTTTTCCAGTGATCCACTATTATTTAACTAAATGGAGAGACACCCATTAATTTCAGTAGTCTTTGGATCAGGCCTGAAATGCTGTACGTTTCATTAGTACAGTATTACCTTTCACATCATAAATTTTGTGTTCATCCAACCTTAGCCCTCAAAAATATTAGCTTAATAATTTGGCTTTCTGTAGCATCTGTTAGATTTTCTGGAATTCTGTTGCCTAAATTAATATTTGGGTTTTTTATTAACTTTTAATGTCGCCTCTAATTTTTTTTCTTTTCCTTTTTACATGAGTTGACAACTAATTCATTTATAATCTAATGGTGCATAAGTATTGGAGTTCTAGTGAAGCCAGGGTCAGTTTGGCAGTTTTTACTATGTAAACACTTCATACTTATCCATCCTTACACATTATTTATACTTTAAAGTCAAGAAGCTACAATTAAAAGCCTGAACACAGCAGCTCTAGAACTCTCATTCTGTATAGCGAAATATGTTTTGAATAAGTTGTTTACTATAGTCATGTAATGTTTGTAGATTAGTTTTCTTTTAAAATGGTAGACAGCCGTGGGCATTCTTCTTTCCAGCCTGTAATCTAGCAAATAATGACTTGATGTCTTTTTGCTGCTGAAATATCCCCATCCTAGAGCAAAAAACCTTGCTTTATACTTATCTTGGATTGTGCTCTGCCAACATTGGTTAATGTAACTTATGGTTGAAATAACATCTGTCAAAATTGCAGATCATTAGTGAAGTACACTTAAAATAAATGCTAGTAGATTCTAATCCAGTTGACAAAAAAAAGGCAGTGGTGTAATTTTGCGAGTGTGAGGGGGGTGACCAAGGCAGCTTCCCCAGGCACCAACTTGGGTGGGCAAGTGGGAGATGGAAAAAAACAGCTGCTTCTGCAGTTACATGGTGCAAAAGCATTTGTCAGCTGCCTTGTGTGTGCCAGCAGCCCTGGGCACCCATCCGCATCGTTAGGCTTCTGCAAAAATATTCCAAATGTTAGATTTAGAAACTAATTGGAAAATACTTTTTGTTGTTGTTGTTTGTTTGCCAATCAGTGTTTCCCTTTGGGAAAAATGAAAATAGTTCACCTTTCTTAATCTATCTTGATTAACATAGATTAAATTCAAAGGTTGAAAGATATAATTATCTTTGTTTCTTGCCTCAGATATGCTTACATTAGTTCATTAGTGTAATAAACAGTATTTTTAATATACAAATGTAAAGGTTAAAGTTTCCAGTGGTGTTTTTTCATAAAAAATGATAAACAACATTCAGTAACATTAGGACTCAGAATTTTTTTTAAATAGTGCTTTTATACCTACCAACTAAAATAAAAATGATACGCTCCTCTGTTTTACTATATTCCCTCTTAAATGCAAAACTGTCTAAAAGTGCAGGTGTTTTTTTTCCTTCCATCTTGGAACCATTTAGGTACCTCAGACACGGACATCTGCACTCTTGATGTTTTACTTTACTTGGCATCCATATTCACTTACAAGTTAAAAGAATAGATGACATCTCAGTTCAAGTTTTAGAACCTTAATGAAGTTAACAATTGCAATGAGGATTTCTATTCTGTTCTCCATATGAAAAGTAAATATAAAGATGGTTCTAAAAGGTGTAAAATCAATTGTTTTTATGGTCAAACTTGGAGAAACTGCATATAACAATAGGTAAAACAGAGTTGTAATTTGAGTACTTTAGTTCTACTTCAATTTTAGTAAGTGACAATTTGAGAGAAACTGCATGATAGCAGCGAGTCCAAAAAGTCCTATTTTAGGAATACCGAATTACATTTTTACACATTAAAATATTTAAGAGATGTGCCTAAATAGTGAATTATGTTGAACGTTAGTGGAAATTTTTGCAGTTAGCAGAGAAGATGGTTTGTATCAGTACTTTTCATTAGTATTCCTGTTTACCATAAGTTATTTTTTTGCTGTTGTTTTAGAATATATATTTTAGGAAAGGGTGGTGCTTGCTAAAATTTATTGCACAGTTTTCACAATTTAGTTCATCTTTGTTGTGATGGCTTGAAACCATATTAAACATGCCTGGAAACTTAAAATTGAGCCTAAGTTTTTTATAAGGCCTGTGAATGTAGCAGATTTAGGCGCTCACTCTGACATGACTTTAACATCAAAACAGGTGAAACATGGCGATTTCAGTTGCTTTTTCTGTTTGAATATTCAGGCTCATTCAAACTGAAATCAAAGGAAAAATCAAGAGGGTGCATACCTTGATAAAGAAAGCCAACTGAAAGGTTATCAGAAATCCAAGAAAACTGAAGCCACAAAATTTCATACAACTTAAGTATGACCATTGTATCTAAATATTATTGTTTAACTGAATAGAAGAATGATAGAGTGAAAAAACTGGCAGGAAGACAAAAGTAAAACTGAAACAGGCAATTGACATTATTAAAATGTTTTTTGTTTGCTTGTTTTCTGTCCTGTTTGGGAACTTTGTATTAGACATCATGTAAGCCTATACATTGGGCCATTTATATATCTGTTAATGCAATTTTTCCCACCTGTTTCCAATGTTAACCACCAAAATTCTAAATTAAATGATGCATAAAGAGAAACACTTTCCACAACACTTTTTTTTGCTGTCTTCCAGAAAGCAAAGGTAAAATATATTTTGGCTTCATTAACATCCAGACTGGGGCCATAATACTTTACAGTTGTTCTGGTTCATTTCAGTACCACCTTGATTGCTCTTGCCTCACATTTGTTGTTGAGTTGTTTTTTTTTGCTGCTTTATTTGTGGGTGGGAGGAAAAAAAAGTCTGAACCATGTTTAATTAAGTATTATAAGCAATCAGAAAGTCTGGGAAAGAGAAATAACTTTTTTTCAATACAACAGTCCAGTAATACAGATAAATTAAATGCCTCTTCATCAGTCCAGACAAGCAGTTTCTTTTCTACAATTTTTGTGAATTGCTTTTATGATTATTTGAATTTCCTGTAGAACTAACAAATGGTTTTCAAACTATGTATCATTATATAGAAGATTAATATATAGTACTGGGATCTCCAATACTTTAGTGGATACTACCTGAGGTCACAAGTGTTATGAGTTCTACTATTTTCTTATACTTCTGAGAAATGTAAAAATCTTAATAGCATATCTAACACCTTCAAAGACAACTGTATTCACTTCCTGAAAAAAGTAACCATTACATATGCCTTTAAGAGCAGTTTCAAAATTTAAGTGTTTGTTCTGTATCATTATGTTAACAGTAATATAAAATAACTTTGTAGGATTATACTGAATTTACTGTTGTTCCCTGTTTCCTATTTAAAATAGCTCCAGTGGCTCCTAGACAACTATGAAACAGCAGAAGGAGTGAGTCTCCCCAGGAGTACCCTTTACAACCATTACTTACGACATTGTCAGGAGCACAAGTTGGACCCAGTTAATGCTGCCTCCTTTGGAAAACTTATAAGGTCAATTTTTATGGGGCTACGGACCAGGAGACTGGGAACCAGGTTTGTGTTAAGCAATGAAGTCCTAGATTCTACAAGACAATATGAATCATTGATCTGTAGGCAAACTGAAAGAAAGTATTACTAAAATGTTAAAAAAAAGTATGTCTATTGGCTTAGTCTGTTAATGTTATGGTGCACAGGATTGTTACAGTATGCCATTACTTTTTTTCCTTTTACTGAAGTTTTTGATAATTTTGACATATCCATTACAGATTCATAGCAATACAAATATTATTACCTGATATTTTGATGCTCCAAAATCTCTTGGATATAGATAATATGGGTTACTATATCTGCATATAAGTTGACTGAAAACATGCTTATCGGGCTTGGTGCTCCTGACTTTCCATTGGAATAAAGTGGGGGGGAGGTAATTGATCTTCTGTAACCACTGGAGTTGCACCAGTGTAAAAATGAAGAGGAGGGGAACCAGGCCCAATTCCTATATATAATTTCCCAGTTTAAATAAATTGTAAAACTTAAATATGAAACGTTATCATTATAAAACTTTAAACATTTTAACACTTAAAATAAGGGAAACTCTAGCATGACAGGCAAATCAGTTGTGTTGTGTTATCTTTTGTTTCTCTGGTGTTTTGTTCTTTTACAAGGGGGAACTCCAAATATCATTACTATGGGATTCGTGTCAAGCCAGACTCTCCTCTTAATCGGCTACAAGAGGACATGCAATATATGGCTATGAGACAACAACCCATGCAGCAGAAACAGAGGTACAGTGTGGAAGTAGAACCTATATTAAATAATGTTGTTTTATTGAGTTTCTAGCACTTGGGGTGAATCTACCATTGTCACAATGCATATAAAATCTCCCATCAGCTTAACTGGGAGTTACTACATCTATATCTACCAGTTAACAAACCTCACTTGTAAGCACAGATGTTTCTACCTTGCACACATGGACAAGGTATCATGTGTTGAACGTAAAATGCATTTTTGTTTAATTTGTATACTGTGAGAATTTACAAATAAAGGTTTACAAAATCCCCAGCTTCCTTATACAAGAGTCCATATGTATGAAATCTTGGAACCAATAAGATTTTGGGTGGCTAATATATTTTTTTAGATAAGCAGTACAGATGGGAGGGATTTAGGCTAGCATTTAGGAACCAAGTACCCTTACTCAGGTCTGAAAAAAAAGAAGCAAACACAGGTTGAGCTAAGTACCAGATAAAACAAAGGCCTGTGTAAAACTCCATATGTAACTAAAAATAGGATAAAAGGGGCATTGTAATTTAGCTAACAGATGAGACAAATGCAATACAAAGGATAACCTGATAAGTGAAAGAGCAGGATCATCCAAAAGGGTCATTATCACCTGTGGAATGCAGAGAAATTATTGGAGATCACGTAGATTATAATGAACCATAAAGTCAATGTCTGTGTTGAGTCACTGATTCTTAGTGTCCAGTAAGCTACTGAATTTTTGTTCTCAGGCCCGTCTTTTGAAGGGTTTTGGACATTTTCCTGGAGCATGAGGATTGTGAGGTCAGAAAGGGAGTGGTGGTTCTGTGAAAAGTGTTCTACTGGTGATTGTGAGTCTCTGACTTTTATCTTTTCTTTGTGATTATTCATTCTGGTGTGTAGTTTTTGTCTAGGTTCACCCACGTAGTTTCAACAAGGCCATTTGGTTCACTGGATGAAGTATATTACATTTTGGGATAGACATATGTAGGAGCTGTGGATTCTGATGGTTTTTTGTAAGACATATTGATTGCTATGGGAGTAAAGATGAATTGACAGGTTTTGCATTTATTGTTAAGCCCAGGGGTGTTTCGCATTTGATACCTGTTGGTCAACGTGGAGTTCACTTCTGAATGATGAGTTGGATGAGCTTAGAGTATTATTTTAAAGCAAGGAGTGGGGGTTCTATGAATATTTCTCTTAAGGTTTGCACCTTTTGAGTATAGGTTGTAATTGTCTAATGATCCTTCTCACTGGTTTAAATGTGGAAATTTAGGCGACAACAAAGGATGTGCAATCAGTGGAGGTTTTTTCGCATTGTAGTAGGTTGCTGCAGGGTATTTGTATGGCTTTTTCAAAGATACTATCTGTTTCTCTTCTGGTGTGTCCTTGAAAGGAAGTTTTCAGGTTGGCAAATATTCTCAGAGCAAATGTGCTGGTATAATTGTGGATTTTGTGGATTTAACCATAGTGGTCTGTGTGTTTTTTGTGTATATTGTGGTTTTTGTGTATAGTCATTTGTGTATGGGGCCATCCAAGGTATGGACATCTAGAAAGTTGATGCTTATGTAGGAGTATCAAGAGAGAATTTGATCAAAGTGTGGTGGTGGTTGAATCTGTGGGGGAAATCAGTAAGTGAGTCTGATGTTCAGTCCAGATGATAAAAATATCACCTATGTAATGCAGGTATAGTAGAGGTTTGGTGTTGCAGTTCTCTAAGAATTCTTCCTCCAACCATGAAGAGAAACCATGTGTGCACATGGGTTGAGGGAAGTGTTGGTTTGTTACCAGATTTGTCCATCATTTTGAGGTGTGCTTATTTATTAGGGATACATTTCTAGGGTCTTTGTAATTCTATCAATGTGCTGCTTGTGTTACTTGTGTTTCTATATGGAGTTGTATCTCTCCCTTCTGCAAGTCGTCACCCCAATGGAGTTATCTTGCAGGACTCAGTTTCAATGGGGCTGGGTTCCTCCAGCCATCCGTTCAGTCAAACACACACACACTAACGTGACATGCCTGACCCCGCTGGGTTGATCATATACAGGCTGACACCCTCATATGCCAGGAATCAGTTCATTAAGGTAACAATAAAATGCAGTCAGACACAAGCACACAAGTGAACAGAATAGCTCTGAATCAGGCTGGGTATCCAGCTGACACCCTCATGGGCCAGCATTCAGCTCATTAGGGCACATCTGAGTCAAACTGGGTCAATCAAGCTATACAAACTGATCCCCTTATGTGTCTCAAACTCAGCACGTCCCAATCTTTTGCCCTAACTGTCCTAGTAGTGGTAGCCTCTTGATGAGTGGACCCCACAGTATTTTTGGGCTTCACAGGGATCTTTGGCTTAGGTAAAAGAAGCATTGCTGCAGAGCAAGTGGGGAAGGGGAGGTGGAGAAGGAAAAATACACGCAGTTACCACCAGTTTGACTATAAAAGTTACTTATTGCTAAGTATATGGATAATAGCCATGCAAGGAAAAACAAACAAAAACAATTACAATATTACCCTGCTTCAGTTGAGTAATTGGAGGAACCTAGCTCAAGCTTAAGTAATAAAATTTAGGTTCAGAAAGCTATGTCTAGAGAAAAAAAGAGAGAGAGAAAGAGAAAAAGGAGAAAGAGAGCAAGAGCTGGGATCTCACCGTTCCAAGGCACTTGGGTATTTTGTTGACAGGCAGAGTTCCTAGCACGATCGTTGAAGGTTAAACAGGTGATGGAAAGAGACAATCTGTTTATCCCAGCTTCTCGAGAACAACAGTGGATGATGTCAGAGAGATTTCTCCCTCTTGAAGCACACTGTTTGCTGCTTTACAGCTTTCTTATACCCTTAGTCCAGCCTCTTCAAAGCATTCTTTTAATTGTGTATATCAAGAGGGTACCAAGCCATAATTGACAGGGAAAATCCTGTTATATAAACAGTTTCAATGTAAACAAATTACCTTTTTCAGTGACAAGGGGTTATCTGGTTTGGAACATCTTAAGAAACTGATTAACAACCAGGAAAAACATAACGTTTTAAGGAGTAACCAGACACCTAGAAGCCAGCTTGAAATGGTTATGAATATAGAAGATATACTGGAAGGGGTAGCACATTGTTTCTTCTCAGATGGCCTAGCTATGCTTGCACTGTGAAATCAGCATCAGTGTTTTGTATTTTACCTGTTATAAATAAGCCTCAGCTTAGCATAACTTTCAGATTCTACTACAGTCTTTTAACATGCTTAAGGAGATTGATTACTTGGGGTGTTCGTAAACTTTGTGGGGAGGACTTCCACCAGTCATCCCGGGAAAAGTATGACAGCATTTGTGGTCAGGGCTCCAACGGGCTGGATGTTGTGATGAACCCTTAACCATTGTTCAAATGTTGTCCATACCCCCTCTGACTCAGTCTCTTTCCTCAGCATTCCCTAACCCAGCAACCGAGTTTTAGTCAATCAAGTTTAAATAGGCCTCCTATACTGGGACTGGGGAATGTATGCCCTGAGATGCCTATTACATTTTTCTTTTGCTTAGTTCTGGTTAGATGAGGTGTGTGTGTGGGTGGGGGATAACAAAAGTCCTTTGTAAGTCCAGCAAGCTGGGTTTCAGGGCTCCCTCAGGAACACAGAGCTGACAGGTTGTTGACAGTGAAGTTGGTGTGGGTGAGGATGATTTGTGCAGTGTTCTGTGGTTCTAAATATTAGTGTAGTTTATGTCCTTGTAGGTATTTCAGGCAGGCAGCTATGTCTTCATTTTATGGAATATTAGTATATAGGCTGGCGACATCTCCAGCTGCAGTTCTGGCCTTATTAGGGAGGTGGTTGTTTTGGATCTTGTTGGGGAAGCCTTTTGAATTGTAGAAAATTTGCTGTTTGAGTGACAAATGGTTTCAGGATTTTTTCATGAATCCTGGTAGCTCTTCAGTGAGGGTGCTGCAGTTGGATATGATGAGTCTGCCAGAGTTATCTTGTTTGTGAATTTTCAGGAGCATATAAAATATGCCTGGGGTAGGATGGTGGGGGATTAGTGAGAGCAGTATTTTTTATTTTTGAAGCTGGTATGGAAACGATTAGATAATGTTTTCCAGTTCAAGGATGAATACTGATGTTGTATCCTTCCCAAATTCTTTATGATAATTAGTCTCATAAAGAGAGAGTTGACTTTAGACTACTTGATGGTTTAGGATGGCTGTAGCGCCACCTTTTTTCTGCTGGTTTAAGTTCTATTTTGTTTTTGGATCTGAGGGGCTGCATGGCTTTTTGCTCTGAAGGAGAGAGGTCATGGTGATCCTGGCTTTTGTTAAGAATTTCACTGTTGTGATGGGAATGTGGTCAAGGGTGTTTTTGTCTTGGTTTTGTAGAAGTAGTCTTTCAGGCAAACTTTGCAGAAGAATTCATCTGATTCTCCACATATTAGTATCTTGTCAGGTTGTTTCTCCAAGCAGAAGTTTATCAGACCATTAGAGAGTACAGATCTTTCAGAACAGGGAGGGTTGTGATAAATTCATAATTTAGGTGCTCTGGGTGCTGTATTGATTTTCTCCTTGTTGCTGGTATTCTGGCCGAGAGATGGTTCTGGTTGTGATAATTTATTCCAGTTGTTCATCTGATGTTGGATGCCTGTCATCAGGCTTTTTTTTTGTTAGAAGGTTTGTATGTGCTGCTTGTGACAATATCTCCAGGTTTATATCTTCTAGTTTAGTAGCCTAAGTATGTTGTGTAAGTTGATCCCTTTTGGAGGAGGTTAGGTGAAAAAGGTTGTTTCTCAGATTTTTTATGAGGTTCTCCAGTATAGTGTTGTTGCATATTTGGAGGTATGTGTGTTTACTGGAGCAGTAGATGGTAGTGTTTACCAGCAGCAGGCCAGAATGATCCAGCAAGGCAGCACTAGAATTGAGCCACTGCTGCTTCTCTCTGTCTCCCAGGTGGGTTGTAGAATGGGAAAGCTCCTAGCTTTATTGCAGGCAAAGTCCCAGCTCCTTAGGCCAGTTCCAGTGGTTCTTTGGACTGGATCCAGCCCACAGCCCATAGGTTGCTAACCCC